TGCGCTTTAAATATAAATACGCAGCCTTATTCTAATTCACAGCTTGAACTCAACGAGTCGGAACAACCTCGGTGAAGATATTCCCTAGGTCTGATGCGCCTCAAGTTGAGGATGTTATAATAGTGGCTGTGGAATCGGTAAGAACGATCTGACTGCGAGGTTAGACCGACATTTGCTACGTCTATCATTTCAGACAGTTATATCCTTTGTGTCCTAATTCCACTCCCTGTTACTGTGACTAGTTTTTGTCGAAACAACAAAAAATACAGCAACCTTTGTAAGTTTGTATTATCTTCTACAACTGCACCTATGAACAAACAAGTAGATACAGATGGAATTATATATGAAAAGTTTATTGCAAACTCATGCCCAGAGGCTAATTGCAGATTACAAACATAAAAGAACGTTGAAACAGAGTATAAAATAACTAAAATCTAAATGATGAAAGGTAGTTGTGCAAAACCATAGCTATGTCTAAAACTATGTCTGAGGGGTTGAAACATATACGATTATACAAGTGCAACCTGGGGTTTTGGCCATACTTCCCGAAGCTGTTATAGTTAAATGTCATTTACAAGATTCACCTCGTCATAGTCACTACAACGTAAATAAAACAATAGCATGGCACCGGTGTGGCTCTACCTAGACCTCAACCAAAAGGTTTTCATCACTATCGTCTTCTTCCATCCTTTCTGCGACACACCTGTGATATTTACATTTTTCTTGGAGTAAACTTTATGATCACCAGCAGTGCATTTGTAACGAGCAGAACCCACACCATTCTGCAGTCTAGGACTGACCCCTGATAGAGATAATAAACCCACATTTGTATGGGGAAGTGCCCAGCCGCGGTCCACCGCAGCTTATTCAGGAAGACTAGCTCGACGGAGACGGTGGCCAGGACGCAGATGGCGAGTAGAACCAGGAGCAGGGTCGACACGGTGTCCGGTCCGACGCCGAAGTCCTGGACGAGCAGCGCGCCGAGGAGCGTGGAGGTCTGGGCGTAGTTCCAGGTCAGGTTGTAGGCCACACAGTTCTCAACCAGCAGGGCGTAACACACGCGGTGGCGGAGAGACATTCGGGACATTTGCTTCTCGGACATGTTGTGGACCAGGAACAACAAGGCGCACAACAAGATCTGGTGGACAAACTTGATCGCCACAACAGCCAGGCCGTTGTAGGGGAAGTACGGTATCGGCCATGCGACTAGCTCCCTCAGGCACACGGCCGTCATCACAAATCCGAGTTTTGTGTCGTGGTCGTCCCAGAAGCCCCACATTGTAGCTAGGAGCCAGTAGACTAAGCAAAGCGCTCTCCAGGCAAAGCCGATCGTGTTGGGAGTACTTAGAATTGACCCAGCCAACGCGATGATAAACTCATTAGCCATCTGTGTACAAGTGTAAGAAGAGAAATGTCTGTGACTAGAGGGCATGTTTGTGTTAATCAAAACATACTTAGTAAGAATAGGTAACACTCGTCCCGGGCCCTGTTTCCCCTATAAATATAAATATATGCTGCGACCGATGAGCTATTGGTATAGCATATAACAGAGAGACAGTCGGGATTTGACTCAGAACCCAGTGCAGTACGTTTAGTCACATTCAAGCCGTACCTTTTACAGTTTTCAGCCACGCAGCAGGGACATGAGACAGTCTCCAGTACAAGTCTCCAGTTGTTGTGTAATCCGGCCTTGACCTGCCTTGAGGTACCAGTATGCAAATCACTTTGACTAGGACAACCTAAGGTCGCCTTAAAAACCTGCAACATTTGCATCGAAACTTAGTAAAGCGATCTCTAGTACTTAAACAGAACCAACCACCAACTAACTAGAAAATTGAAGGTAACTTCACGAACGCAATGATTCTACTTTGATGAGGCCAATTCAAGTACAGCACGTCTCTATTCCTAACAACGTCTGGCCTATGATCTATAAGCGTCACGTCACCATAAACAACCCAGGCTTGTCACTAACCCATTGTTATCATACAGATAATTGGTCGGTGAAAAATGTGGCAACAATCGCAGATGTCAGAGCTAGAGGCGACGGTTACCAGCGGTCGCGCAGGCTCGATGATCCCTATTTTAAATCATGTGGTAATTATATGTCTAAAGGTTTCTGTATTGTTGTTATTTCTGGTGGAACGTAAATACCCACGGTCTTGCTGTTTTCAGTCTAGTCGTTACGTTTCTAGAGCACGTAACCTAAACAGGTTAGGTCTGAAACATAACTGTGTCAATATAGGTAGTACGCAGTCATATTCTAACTTAAAGCTTGAACGCAACGAGTCGGAAAAACCTCGGTGAAGATATTCCCAAGGTGTGATGCGCCTTTGGGTATGTTTAGTGGCTGTAAAATTGGTATGCACGATGTGACTGCGAGGTCAGGCCGACATTTGCTTCGTCTATCATTTCATTAACAGTTGATTCCACTCGCTGTTGTTGTGAAGTCATGCGGCAAGGGTTTTAGCTTTTTCTGTCACAAACACAGCTGAATTCTATACGACTCATCCACAACTGTACTGTACAAAGAATTTCGCTTCAGTTTGCAATCGATCGTACGATGAACGTGCAGGTGGTTTACCGAAGGTTTTACGAAAGTAAGAAGTCCAACTCTCGGTCAACAATGATTTATTTATGATAACATTAGACCTTAGACATCTTAATACCCGTTCTTCCCAAAGGCTTAGAGATAACAGTACGGGGTACACTGATAATTTGACACATTGCACACATTGTATTGCATAGCTTTTGTATTCACTGGATTTTAATTTCTAAACGCTTAGGAGTAGTAAACTTTCAGTAAGAAATCACACACACACACTCACACACTCACAAACGCACGCACAAACCCACGCTCGAAGTTCGAACGCGCACTCACACAAACGTTTAAAGTATATTCAGAAAGAATTACATGTAACTACAAATGATCGTAACCCTTCATTACAACCACAGTGCACTACGTGTATCTGCTCATAATGTTGAGAGGTTCAGTATAATCATGATAATTTGACACATCACACACGGCGTTGTACATCAGCAATGTACTGCAGAAACGTCGTGGTTATGTTTTCACCGAGGTGAAAAACCATCTGTGTATGGATGAAGTGTAAAGAGTGTCATCAAAACGTCCGACTGGCTCCTCCGATGGGCCCCACTTGGTCAGCTAGATGTTTCTCCACCCTGAACGGCTCTATGAAGGAGCCGGGAACCATCATCTTGTGCGCGGGCACGGGGCCGGGGTACCGGAGGGTGTTACTCACGGTCCACTCACGGGCCGACTCGTCGTACACTTGAACTTTGCTGACGTAATTCATCTCACCAGAAACTAGGTAGGCACCGGGATAGAGAATGAATGAATGAACGAATGAATGAATGAATGAATGTATGTATGAATGGATTGATGAACATTCTAATCGTTAAAATAAAGCAAAAGGCCAACATGAAAACAGATGTTTGGGAGTAAAATTAAAATCTGTGCTAACTGATTCACTCCTGAAACTGTGTGGATCAAGCAAAAAAGGTACAGACGTTTCTCCCAGGCTTTGATTTTAGGTTGATATTTAGGTTCAGTATTATTCTTTTAGAGCCCAGAACGGTCAAATCAGTGTAACTCAGGGGTGAATGAAGGTACAGGCGTTTTACTTACAGGTACTCTGGTCACCCCCGAGGACGGTGATTTTTCCCTCCACGACCACGGCGCTGCACATGCCAGCCGGTACTCTGAGAGGCTCTATGAAGCTCCACTGGTCCTGCTCCGGACTGTAGCACTCCACAACGTCCAGCGGCTCGTTATGGGTCCGCGAGAGCGACGTGTAGCCTCCTATGGCGAAGATCCTGCCGCTGTACACCTATGTACATATACATATAGGTGAGTTTTATTGGTAAAGAGTCATACAAAATACAACGCATGTCATTACTACTTCTTTACTTTACGAGTACACCAACTCTAGGTCTAAGTAGACTCTTCTAACGTCTAAGTAACACTTACTTGCAACACAAGAATGGGCACAACCGAAATTTTGACCAGACCTCCGGTCATCTTCTGATGACCTGTTGCGCACGTCACGCCCACGTAAGGTCACGTGTCCTGACAAAATCGGGTCAGCCATCCTGAAGATGGTCAGGTAGAAAACTCTTTCAGTCCAGTCCCCGTGTTGGAAAGAAAATAAGCTTTTTCGTAATTTAAGAGGAAATTGAATGCTACAGGAGGTTGTTGCCTGGCTATCAATGTGGTTCTGTATATATTTTTGTCACTGGTTTCTACGTTTTAACATTGCAACGTTATGTTTTGAGAACGCCTTCACCCTGACCTTGGTGCTGAAAGCGCAGGCCAGTTGAGAATATAGCCCTGGATGTACTCACCTCCATGGCATGGGAGAACCTGGCCACGTGCATGGCGCTCCTCTCCGACCACATGTCCGTGAGCGGCTCGTAGCAGTAGACCGTTGCCGACATGGTCGGGACGCAGGACATGTTCACGTTCAGTGTCAGAGAGAAGGCGGCCTCCGTGCGTTTGATCCACCCGCCCGACACGTACAGACGATTGTTGTAAACGCAGGAGGCCTGGCAGCGGCGACCGTCGGGAATTTCCGAGCAGGGCCACCACAGGTTCTGTATGGGATCAAACCGTTCAACCGAGGACAGAATGCTGGTGTCCTCATGGTCTTCGTCCCCTCCGACGGCGAAGAGGTTCCCCTCGATCGCGTCCATAGAGAAGCAGCTCCTTTTCGTCGACAAGCTCGAAACTTCCCGCCATTTTGCTGTCCTCAGGTTGTAACAGAACGCATTAGCGGACCAGCGGTCGTAGCCGCGCGCCTCTTTGTCCCACTCCCGCCCGCCGACGACGTAAATCTCGTCGTCCAGGACGGCTGCGCAGTAGTTCCTCCTCCTGATGGGGATCTGCGTCATCTCGTACCACGGCTTGTCTCCCTCGGGCGACCTGACGTCACAGAAGCTGACGCATGTCCTCTGCACCGCGGGTCGCTCGTTATACATCAGCCTGCCTCCCACCGCCAGAACCACTTCTCTCGATGACCGGCAGATCGTAGATTCTCTTGTAGTAGTTTCCACTGAATCGTGTCGCCTGGCAGCGTGCTCACCTCCGAGCGGCCTTGTTGCCGGGATACCAAAGTTGTCCTCTGCCGGGATACTGTCAATGTTCAGGATGCTGGAAATTTCATCCAGGTACTCGCTTCTCTTAGGATCTCTGGCTACCCATTTGTCCGACATCTCACACAGCTCTCGGTCCGTCGCCTTCACCCAGTCGTTTGAGAGTAAGACGATCAGCTGATCGCAGGACAGCTCCAAAAAGTCGTCCGATTGCGACGCTTCGATCAGGTTGTTGGTCACGTGGTTCTCCGCGAAGTCCTTCAGCTCGTGCAGGTTGAGCGCGCACGCCAGGTTCCAGATCCCGATGCAGTTTTTCATGTGGATGTTCTCCCTTAGATAAGAGCAGCACATGTCGATCACCGCATCCACTTGGAGATAGCAAGCAGTCGACAACACGTCCTCCTTATTCTCGTCGTTCAACGTGAGATCTCCGCTGTACAGAAAGTCTAGTATGGCGGCAAGCCCTCTAGCGGTCGTGCCGTGCATTTCAATCGTCGTCTCCTCCTTTTCTCTCAGGTCTATGGAAAACATGGATCTGAAGTAGGGACAGCAGGCGGCGAGGAGTGTCTTGTGCGATCTGAACTCCCGTTTTTCTGCGACCAGACACACGTCACTCAGCAGCTCTGTCCGGTACAGTTCTCTAAAGCCGGAGAGTACAGAGGCACCATGGGACGCCAGGGAAAACTTACGCTCGTTCACCTTCTCCATCTCTTCTTCTCTCCACCTAGAAAGAGTCAAGATAAGGGTTATGCAAATAGAATATCATGAACATTCACTTGTGGACGACCATATAACAACATGGTGTTAGATGTTCAACTAATACTTGGTTGGACTTGACGGAAGAGCACTATAAGATTTGTAACATTGGTAGCCATTTCTAACATGGGCAGGAATATAAAAGTTTACAGTAAAATCAATATATTTAGAGTAGAGTTGAGTAGATTAGAGTAGATCTCTTCGGCCAGGTAGGGAGATCTTTTCCAGTTTTTATGCTACCAGTTGTTGTGACCGCTTTGCCAATTTATTGTTATTACACATAGTATTGTTCCACCTGGGGCAATGACTTCGTTCTGAATACTAGTACTACTGAAATAATACAAGAGCACTACTACTGAGTTTGAACTGCACGAAGTTGACAACCAGAAACGTTGCTGGTTTACCGAGCTGTATTACTATACGGCACGGTCTTTGTCCCAGTGTTTGGTTAGGATAGCTCTGTGAGATGTCGGGTGTTACCCAAATAACCGCCACTTCTTTTCCTCATACATAAATGACCTACTTACCCGCATTCGCCGATTGGGTGGCCATTAATTTGCTAATGGATGACTGTTATACATAGAGCCTTCAGCCACCGATACATTGCTCTTAAAACAAGACTCTAGACACATTCGAGAGCTGGGACCACAGAATGATGTACTAAATTGTATGTATGGCCCAGGGGGTTTCGCATAACAAACAAATGACCCCACATGTAAACAGTACCGGTTTTCCTGCCTGCAAACAAACAAGACCGCCCAAACTAAGGCATCCGGTTACAATACAACTCAATTGAGTGCTACTGAAATAAAAGCAGGCATCGTAACGGCGGAATCCACTACAGAACTGAATGTGTTCTTCGTTTCACTTTACGGTTATGTAGTACTTACCATATACTGTATGTCATGTAGTATGCGCCGAAAAAAAACTGGCTTTTCCAGTTGCAAGATTGATTGACATTTTTTATTACTGCTATATCAAACTGTGAGATTATTGATATGGAAAGAAAGTGTACAGAAAGGGCAGGTTAACGGTTTTTTTTTATTCAACTATAAACAAAACAAAGGGTTAAATACCCGGTCTATTTTTGCATAGGGTCAAATCTAGTCCAGTGCAGTGCAGTGTATAATTTTGCATAGTGCTTGACTAAGCCATATGCATTAAGTGGGATGTCATAGTCAGATCAAATCGATATTTTGAAAAGCGAAATTTGAAAATGATTTTGGAACGAATGTATAACGCGAGTATTTTGTGACCTGCCACATTCACACAAAGCTTAATTTTTCACAGTCAAAACTATGTAAGAGTCCTGTAAGCACTAACTACAATAAACTACCTACCTGTAGATAGAGTGTTGATTCACAATCGTGGTGTTTCCAACGTTTTCAGACGAAACATCTTTTGACAGTGGTAAAATTGTGGACATGAGAGATAAAGAAAGAGGTCACCCGGCGGTTGGGCTGCCACGGGTCCAAAGAAGGGCGCAGTCTCCGAGTCGGCCAGAAATAGTCGCGGTACTATGGGAAGAATGCGGATCAAATTCGCACGGGCTCATTCGCCGTGTAGTCTATTTTGGTTTTGTACAGCATGTGGGAAGCCATATGCACTGTATATATGATGGAACTCAAGGGGTAATGGACTTGTATGTATGTATGTATTATGTATGTGCATAATGATGCCTGGCTGTGGCGTCTGTAGATTTGTGCAAAATTTGGCATAGAAACTAGATGCATGAAATTCGACTGCATCAGAAACCTTTTCCGCTCACATAAAAGAGGATGTTACGGTGAACTAGTTTAGTGCTTTGATTTATATTATGTGGCCATAAAGTGTGATGATAGCGACGTCTAGCAGATTGAATGTGTACTACATACGGAATCCAGTCGTTTTCCTTGCTCTGCGTTAAAGCACCTCTTTCATCTGTTCGCGACAAATCAACGTCATACAGAGACAGTACAGACAGTACAATTAAGCACGCAACAATACAGCTATAGTTGGCTCAATTTGGAGCTCATATCAACTTTGGTGTATTTACAAACCATCAAACACAAGAAGGTCCAACAATGATATAACAGAAAAACGTGTATTAGATAAAAGGCTTCTTTACCAGTATTTGCTACATAACCACATTAACGTGTGATGCTACCCATACACAACAATTGTTACAGCATTTTCAAATGGACATACCATGACGTAAGCTATTAATATAACATGTTCTAAGTCTTACCAAATTAGATCAGTTCGTTGTTTCCAAAATTTTATCATTTGAGATATTGCAACTGTATTATCTATCATTGCTATAGACGTGTAGGAAGAACGATGTACCTAAATGGTATCAACTGAAAAGTAATGCTCTCTGTCGTAGGCGATGGTGTCAAATATGCTCTGAACCCAGATCTAGAAAGGCCCTGTCTAGGTGGTATCAGGATCTGGGCTCAGAGCATATATGACACCATCGCATACAACAGAAAGCATATGCATTAGCTCGTAGAATCAAAATGTACATACAATCTCATTGCAATTGTGAACGGGAGACACCTTATCTAATATCTAACGCATGGTTCTTCAACGATTCCTCAAGACTAGCCTTTCTAACCTCAAACCAAATTGGTCGTCTGTAAAACTGATATATGACAAGTTTTCTTTTAAACATGACCATCTACTTTAAGACTACAACCCCCTGCGTTATAGCCCCTTCGGTAGGCGGTATCCCCGCTTGACGAACTGGTGGATGACGGCGTACAGGACGAAGATGAGCGCGATGTTACCGAACAGGTGCCAGCAGAAGCCGAGCGGCAGGAACATCAGGGTGTTGTGTGACTCAAGGTCCCAGCTCCGGGCAGGGTCCAGCGGGTACAGCACACCCGCAACCTGGGGGACAAGCAAGGGGTACAGTTTTGTACCTGATCATGGTTTTCTTCATGATACTGACTACTGTACACTCGGGAGTTGCGTTTCTGTCCCTCTCTGTCTCTCCCTTTTAGTGCGTGTGCGTGTGTGCATGTATGTACTATATTTGTGCGTGTACGCTTGTGTGTACATGTGGTTGTATGTGCGTGTGTGTGTGCCTGTGTGTGTGACTATAGCTATGCGTCTGTACTATCTGCCTGCTGTCTGTGAGTGTTTCTAGTATACACAGTGTACCCTTGCCTCACACCCGCGTCTTGGTTTGTTGTAGACAGAAATTCTGATCAATGTTTCCTTACCTGCCAGAACCACGTGCCCTGCAGCAGGACGAGTGCCGATATGAAGAGCGGCAGGATCTGGCTCTCCGGCAGACACGCCCACAACATGGCGGCAACCGCAGCTCCGAATATGGCGATAAACAGGAGCTGGTACAGGCGGTCTCCGGCCTCTGAACCTCCTGTATAGAGAACAGGGTGGAAGCTTATAATTCATGGTGCATGTTTCGTCAACACTGTATCCTACATTGACGAGCCTCGCCGTTAGGTCTTTATGATGACACACTAGCCGCAACAGGTTAACATAAAGAAGGAATCGCTAATGTATCAGAACTAGGTACTAATGGATGGCACATCTTACCTGGATGATAGAAGAACAAGTAGGCCTCGATAAACAACGCCACACTGACGAAGAACTTGTCACTGTTTGGCGGGATCGGCGCCTTCACCCTGACCAGGATGTCCACAAGCCTGGACAGGCAGACAACATGGTACAGTCATTCGTCTGATCAACATAGCAGTACAAGGTTGATCCACACAGATCATAAAACACAATATGATTTGTACCATGACTACATCTTAACTAAATGTAAAGCCGTACATTATAGAGTGATCTAAAATGTCATCTACGTGAACATTTTAAGTTGTTCTTTCTCTTGCTTTGGAAGCCACTTCTTGATCTTGTTGACGAACCAATTGACTTTTAACAAGTGTAGATGTACAAGACAACCACTTTTCTGATGTATGTGATTTCTCGACTAAGAAGACTTTGGTTCGGTGGTCGAGCTGAGAGCTCAGTTTCACCTTGATGACGACTTACCCTGAGAAGAAGAAGAATGAGTACATGGTGACGAGCTGCCAGTCGCCCTGTTCCACAAACTCTCCTGTGACGGGGTCACGCAGCGTCCAGTGGGCACCGAGAGACATCTGACTTAACATGCCTACACCAGGAGAAAACAGAAAACATATACATAAGCATGTATGAATTTTGATATAGCTATATAGCTGACATGTATCTTACATGTATTTGTTTTGTCTACATGAATGTAAGAGGTTTTGTCTATGTAAATGTGTTTTGTCTAGTATGTGAATGTGAGAGGTAAAAAATAAATCTACCATACATCCAACCGACAGACAGACAAGCGAACGACCAGACGAAAAAAATGGAGAGAAAAAAATTTTACCTATGGTACAAGCGGTGATCTTGAACATGGGGTCCATGGAGTAGAGTAGGAAGCCGAGGGTCCGTTTGGCGCACCCGGGGTGATCCCTCCATGTCTTGTGCCGTGCGGGCTGCCTGCTGCCCTGCGTGTGGAGGCTGTCCAGCACGAGGAAGGAGTGCTTCACGGAGTACCACAGCCCGAACACGAAGAAAAACGTCCCCAGGAGGGCGTGACCTTCAAAGGACCCCGACTCCGATGGGTCTGCAGAGAAGATCAGAGTCAATATAATGTCTCGGTGATATTATATATAACGTTAGATATAGAAGATCCAGACTAGCATGTACGACTGCTTTCCTGTAGTAAAGATCAGAGTCAATGTAATGTCTCTGTCATCGGATATTATATATGGATATCCAGACTGGCATATTTTCTTTGGAAAACGTGTTAACCATCAATACAATAGTTTGTGTTTTTAAACCTCCTGATTTTGATTCCTCTCTAGTGCTCCTGACGAAAGGTAGTGGATGCTACGCATACCTGAAACATCTGATAGTTTCCAAAATCATATCGCGTTCCTTGAGTAACTGTTTTTTTAATACTTATTACCTGGATGTCTAATAATCACCGACATGCCTACCATCTATTTGAGACCTTTTTAGTAAACTGACGATGCCCGGAATAACATCCGTAATAGGCTCTACCTCACATGCACGGCATGTCGTTTTGATGTTCTGTTGAATATAGGCATTTGGTGATTGCTTCCCTAGCTGTCATTATGACTCGTTATCACCAAGAGCGGAACAGTATATATTTAGGAAAAACGGGAGGCGAAGCTCGAGACTGCTGTGGCGACAAGGTAGTGCCCATACCACCTGTGTCATAACGTGTACACTTTTCTCAATCTTCTTTATTCCTGACATAAGCCATGCCAGTCGCCACAGATGTAATCTTCTCAGGCGATCAAAGACGAAATAATCCTAATCCCAAATCCAGGATTAACGTAAAGGTCGGACGGATCTGACCCCTGCACTCAGGCGAAATGTCAAAGTATCATCTAATGTCGGCTGTGCGGAAATGTCACAGCTACTGTGGACCATGTAAACAGTTAATATTGGCCGGTCTCTAGATGTTTGCCGTATCTCGTACAACAGTTTGCTAGCATTTGCCGTGGATATAACGCTGCCGTGACTTGTGGTCAATTTCATTTCTACATGTAACAGTTATAGCTAGCTAGGGATCAGTAACGACAGAGAACAACAATATTTCAAAGTAATATAAATGTACGTTCAAAATAAATCGCCCATTAACGTTACATACAGTAACATTTAACGTCACATGATAACACAACAATATCCGATATCTACGTATACGGTGCGATATTGGTGATATAGATTTGCTATTTGAATCCTTAATTGGGTGTAACACAAAAACCTCGACCTGTCATATCACAGAGTTATAACACACTTGAATTATTTTATCTAACGTTAACTCTAACTGTCGTTTGAAATTATCTTACGAAGATGGTCCTGCCATAAACGCACGAAAAACGAATGTCTAAACACGCGACTAAGATTTACTGCGTATTCCGCTTATTCTCAAAGCAGATCCTATATATAGGGTGGCAAAATACAGTATAAAATTGGCTAGACAGTATCCATTAGCCAGAGAGGGTCCATAGATTTACTGTGTATTCCGACAAGGTTGGCGTATGGACCCTCTCATGTCGAATGGATACTGCCTGGCCATTTTGATACTATCTTTTGCCCCCTTTGATCTGCTTGGAGATTATATTCCGAGTGAACCTTCCGCATGTGCGTGCGCTGTCGCAACTCCCAAAGGCGTTTTATTTGAATGACGGCAATTACATGGGAATTGACCTTTCGAAACGCAGTGTTGACTGTTGTTGCCAAGCTCCGCAAAAATGTCGGTGCACAGGCGCTACATTTTCACCACGCAGCAAGGGAACATCTTAAATAGTTTCATTATTTTCTGACAAGACTCCCACTCCGTCAAACGACAGAAACGCAGGGCAGTTCAAAACATAACGTTCTTCCTTTAATCGGAGTTACGACACGACGACAGCACAACACTTCCTTCCTACATCTGCTCAGAAATTTATAGGGACGAAACTTTGCACCTCGTTCAGAGATGCAAAGGGTCATGTGTGTTCCACCAGTAATGGTCACGGCCTTTTCTAAACAACCTCACATATTATAGACACTTTATTTGAATGTTTGTGCCATAGACAGTACTACTGTCATTCTGAGTTAGTGTCAGCCTGTCAGGTAGTCATAGATAGACAGCATGTACCCCAATCTTGCATTGTCTATGACTGAAAATGTGGTTGTTCCACATCTGTAATCGCAGCAACATTTGATAGTACGGTGAACATGGGATTAGTACACTGAGACAAGCCGTTTATGCGGATTACTGGAGTAAAACAACACAAGTTGACACTTGAATTTCAACGTTTTGAATCGCCATTAGGTCAAGAAGGTACGGAACTATCGTATGATATCATCGGCGTCTTTCAATACAAGTGACCTTGGATGAGTCAGTTTTGCGTGACAGTTGTCTGCTTTAGAGTAATCGCTCGACTGAACTACAGTAAGTGCCGGGAGAGTTCGCTATCATGGCGGGCACATTGTTTGTTTTACCTTGGGTATTGTTTCACGGGTCGCCGAACATTATCTATAGACTTAACCCGTCCCTAGTTACCACATAGACTCCTCGTTTTCTGCCAAGGAAAAGAATTAACTCGTTAACTTGTCGCTATTCGTGTGTGGTTAAGGGTTTACCCGTCTCCGAAATGTCGGTACTCTTAATGATTGTTGAGAGATAAAGTGACATGGTGCCAAGACAAACAGGTGTGGGTTTGTGGAACGAAGCCGGTGGCATTCTCCGCGTGATCCAACACCCAAGGCACCAGCCACAGAGGTCACACACTGTCGTCTGACTGCTGGGATTGGAACACAACGAAGCCTAGTTCAGTTCTGACAGAAATTCAGACGCTCTGTGTAACTCTACCCTCCAGATCCAATGTGATTGAAACAGGCTATAACTGTCACGTATCGATGACGCCATTTATAAACAACTTTATTGATACCATACCAAGTACCCTCCCCCATTCCCAGTGTAACGGTTGACGTTAATATAATAATACACAACGTTACATAGTATACATGGGATTGTCAACAAGTAAAAGAAAAGACGAATCTAGAAATTATTAATGGCTACTCATACTAGATATACGTAATGAGTCCATCATTCATTGGCAAACGCAGCTATCCTCCTTGGTTGTACCTTACCTGGGATGACCTCCGCACTGTGTGAATGGCCGTGGTGTTCCATGTCCATGTCAGCGTGTCTATCTGTCCCCCAAAATCGGCACAACAGTAGAGAAATGTTCCGGAAACCCTGTCCCAGGCGGGTGTGCGTCTGTGCCCGGCGGCCTTACCTGCACTGCAAGGTAATATTTAACCTGCCACGCCTCATGGTAAACAACAGGCCTGTCACCGTCACGTGACGCAGTTTGAATAGGCCGCCAGAATGTGGCTCTGCAGGTACTAGTATATGCTAGCCTCTACCAAGGACGTCCTTGCCTCTACCAGGCACCGCGGATCGCTGAAAAATAGTAGAAATTGGCCGAAGTAAAGGAATAATATATCAAGGGAGGTAGCCGAATTTCGAAATGGATCTTCTCTGGCCGGCTACCGGTATATTATTCCTTTATTTCGGCCAATTTCTACTGTTTTTCCAGCGATCCACGGTGCCTGGTAGAGGCTAGGTAACGTTACATGCAGCCAGGCTCCGCTTGGGTGAGTTTCTCACTCCGCCATCGCTGAAATAACAAAACTATGCACCTGCTAGCTATGGCACAAGATAGTCCATACCAGGCCCCTTTGGGGCTTTAAAGAATCCTTCTGAGCTCACGTTGAAAAGCTTGGAAACACTTATAAAATGGGTCCTTTATTCAACATATTCAAAGCAAAGTGCATTTCATGGCCTAATGACATGGCTTAGTGCACAGATGGAACACCAGGGCTACATTTGTGACTGTGCTGCTGTTGTTTCAGATTTGGGCTTTTAACGCTGTGTTGATAGACATGTGACGGACGAACACGATAAAATACAGCTAACGCTCTAGTCTAGAGACGTCTCTCATACTGCATTCGATTTACAGTTTTTAACAAAAATTCATGCGCGCGTGGATGTCATCCATATAATCAACATTACGTCGTGTAATGTACATGTATATGTATATTGGAATGTAGGTGGCGCTTTTGAATGAATGGAAACCGTATCAACGCAGAAATGCATGAGAAATCATTGGGAGTATACCCTAAACACAAGAAGGCCAAAAAATGTCGAAAGTTTCATTTTCCCAAAATTAAAAAGCGTAAATCTATCCATCGCACTTGTGTTTGATCACTCGTTCTAGATTGGCCGTATGTACCTCTTGAAGTAGCCCTTCTCATTCCAAGATTTGGGCAAAAACGATATGGGCTCTTATGGGGTTTTTACTTCATGTCATGTCACCCTGACTACCAAAATATCATTTGTCAATCATACATGAAAAGAACACAAGCAGGTAAGAATATAATAGGTAAAAATACAACAAAACGTCATCAACTTAATAAGCGACAAGTAGACTTTATTCACTATTTATCTACTTAATGTAGCTTTTAAAAACATTATCTATTCATTGTTCTACTCTTGGTCAGTATTAACTATTGCACATCCCACAAATTTACTTGACATCATACTATTATCAAGACAGCATACCATAGTTTGGTATACTATATGACTTGTCACCTATTTCGTCATTTGTTATACACCTGGTCAACAATTGTAACATCAGAGTACTTAAATCGAGGAAAGCATCAGGCATAAACAATGTACCTAATGAGCATAATATGTATAAATAAGCTTTCTTATATTCAGACTTGGTTAATACTATATCTAAGTATATTTGCACCATTTTACATGACTTATTAATATGCAAGGGGCTGCTCTTTAAAGTTTAACAACTTTTACCATTTTATATGACTTGCCTCTTACAACAATGGTGAAAACAACATATACACATTGTACCTACAAAGTTTAGAGCACAACACCAGAGTAACCAGTAGTTACCACCAACAATATTGTACAGTTGGGGCTATCACTATTTGTTAACATTGCATCAGCAAATGCATGCATATGTATATAGTAAGTACAATTCTCAATAGTTTCAGTAACATTTACATTGCATATCTAGACTGAAGATCACTGATGTACACACAGTCATTCATCTGACTTATCCAAAAACACCTTATAGTCATAGGCCATTGTTAAGACTGAAGCATATTGCAACAATTATGAGTTATCATAAATCACAGAGATGTCATCCTTAATATTGCACAGTACATATGGATGAGTCATGTAATATTTAATGCTATTTGTGTACCTTGTTACATGTATTTGCATGCTTATAATAATTATGTTGTTAGTATTGACTATAACATCACAATACTAGTAAATATATTTTATCTCATTTAAAGCATGTTTACATAATTACGTCTATATCTTAGGTTACATCATAAATATATGATTATCATAGCGAAACCAAATGTGACCACTGCATGAATTTTAGGATGGAATGCAAAGCTTAACTTACACTACACAAAATAAGTTAATATAATATATAATATACATGTTGTACATGATGTTGTTTCTCTGGTCGTTTTCTATGATGGATCAGTCATATTTACAAGATTAGTTGAGGAGCTGTCCCAATGTAGAGTGCATTGTCTCTTATCTTGCCATAGATGACGACTCAAACAGCCCTGTAGAACAGAACAGAACTTGTTATTAAAAACATCAAATATCAACATGTAAATCTTGCTGTTCATGTTACATCCTTAAAGGAACACCAAAGGAATTAATTATCAAACATCCCATTGTTTGAAAATTTGAATTGCAATTCCATTCTTTCTAGACACTGTCCAGGGCATATACACATGTACATTGTACATGTACACTCAACACAAAAAGTTTGGAAGCTTAAATTTGATCAACCATATTTTCAGTAATACTGAACTGGTAGATTACAGTAGTTTGACAGATACACATAGTAAATAATCATATGTAGTTTGTGTCTATACTCACTGAGCTCCTGCTGCCTTTGTCTCGTCCTCCCTCTCTGTACAGTTCTGCCAGCCGGAGCAGTAGTGTAACATCAGCAGGGCCAGGGCCTGAAGGCGCTCCTCAGACTTAGCCAGGTCGGCTGCTATCTTACTTCTCACCTGAGGAAATGTGGCCAACATATGTAAAACATCATTAGCATCAGAACCACTTCAAATGCAAGATCAAATCATCCATTCATGGCTATAGTGTAACTCTTATCAATAATAGTTTGTACACATAGTTAATAGTATAGTTTTGTAGTATTGCTGTCTTACTGCAATACATTGTACCATGTACGATTGTTGAGCAATAATAAAAGTTGATTGATTGAATAATGACTGTCTGCCAACAATGTACTTTCCATTTAAGTCCACAAAACTAAAATACGGTACATCCTAATTGCATGTACACACAAACATAGACATATGATTTACAATAACTTGTCATACAATCAGTATACTTTGCTTTGTAATAAAGTATCAGTTTGTAACAGCTGCTACTATCATGATTTGTTTGTTTAACAGATTATGATGAGAGATTCTGAGTGAAGAAGGCCAGTAGACGGAGTTACCTGCTGGTCTGGGGCATCCTTCTCCTCCCTGTGCAGCTCCAGTTTGTGCTCAGATTCCATGTCTATCTCCTGCTGAAGCTTGTTGATCTGTCATGTAACAATCACACTCATCATTACCTCCAGGAAAAATGGAGACTATAGACAGTATACATTGTACTTTTAGCAATGTCTGTGTATCAGACTTGTGTCTGTCATCAAGATAACTCAAGATTCGCTGGATAGATAGGTTGAATATTTGGTAGGTTCGTAGGGTGTGACAAATGCTGGAACTGAGTAGATTTTCGGACCCCTGGCAGGTTTCCTAAGTACTGCAGTGGAACGTCTGTTTTTCATATCTCGTCTTCAGGACATGCTAGAGTCAGATTTTTTAGCTCTTCTGCTTGGGTGGCTTAAGTTAGTTGCATGGGGCATCTATAGTATTGACTTCTTTTTATCATGTTATCATCAATCCTATTATATGAGAAACAAATGTTCATCCTAACATTGTAATGTACATGATTGTATGTGAATTTCATGAGGTATACTGACCATGGCATCCAGTTTCTGTCTCCGCTCCTCCTGGGGCAGTTCACTGTACAGATCTCTCCCCAGCTGTGGGGGAACAAACAGACATGTTCATCCCATTCACACTTTCAGCATGTGTCTGCTGAACTGGACAATACATTACCCTCCAGTTACAAATGGTACCCTTCAGTTTAATACTCCTAACTTATTGTACAAGCTTATTTATCTTTAATGGAATCCCTGCAAGAACAATCATGCATGTCCAATTTGGCAAAGTTGCAGTCTTTCTATGGTACCAATTTATACTTATATTCATCAGAGTTCTGAACCACAGTTGCATGAATATTACTGGTGGTCTGCAGCCCTTGGAAGGATACATTGTTAGCCAATGGTCATGCTTAAGTACCCACCAAACTTCTCAAAAAGAGTAAGGAGACAATGAAGAAACTGCACCTCTTTAGCCGCAGTGACGATGAGTGTGTCCACGTCCACGTTGGCGAAGTCGCAGCCCTCCTTCTGTGTCTGCAGGATTTTCTCCCGCAGCGTGCGACTGCTGTGCATGATGCTGTCGCTGTCGCTGCTGTCCGCCGCCTCGGCCAGCTGGGTCTCCCGGAACATCTCCCCAGACAGGTAGCGGCGCGCCATGGTCGGGGAGCCGGCGGGCGAGTGGCTTGGAGTCGCACGGGGGGACGAGCCTGGGGAACATGGAGTAGAGCAGAGAGTAATGTGGTAGATGAAGTTGAAAATGTACATACTAGTATACATAATCCATTGTAGATGTAGTAAGATACTACACAGAGTATCTTTTGTCACCGTATTTGCACTACCTACATGTAGAGCTGCTTTATCACCATGAACTGTACTTACTAGGTTGTAAGAGCATAACACACAATAAATTTAAGGTCTTTTATTAATAATTATACTACATGTACTTGTACTTGAATCCTACACATTCTTCTACATAGTCATGTTGTCAATACTGCTGGTACATAAGTAGCAAAGAGGTTGCAAAGTTATTGGTAGGATTTTGTTAGATGGCATTGGATTCAGTGAAATGAATAGAACTTACAGAGTACATGTTTCAAGAAGACAAAACATATCACTAGACACTAGTATAATATTACATAACAGCGTGATAAACATTATAGATATCTTGGTTGAAAATAATGGTAATGTTGAATCATTCTCACCCGGAGAGGCATGATGTGTGGTGCCGGCATTTGGCACCAGTTGAGGGGCACTGCCCACGGTGTGCAGGGTGGTCGGCTTACGGGCATGCAGGGGAGAGGAGCGCTGTCGGGGCTGTCTGTAACATGGACATGGACAACATGGTAGGTTACTCATGGGAAATTCAAAGCCCAACCAGAGAAGGAAAACTCTGTAAAACCTGGCATAGGGCTTGCAACCCGACACGTATCTTTTCGCAGAAGAATTCAAACTCTACCACTGAATAAATTAGAATAATTTCTGGATGTTTCAAGTGACATGAAAAGTGATGCTGAAGTAGAGTGGTGGATGTCACTTGAAACATAGTAGAAGAGTTTGAATTTCCTATGAGTATTGTTTACCTGGATGTCTAACCTTCATCAATATAACTGTCATAGTGCATTTCTTCAATTTCAATCATTAATCTTGAAGTTGTCAATGTTACCATTTGATAACGAACAGTTTCAGTTTACTTCTTTAAGAAGGTATTAAAGGCATATTGCCTACTACTCACTTTTCAATTCTCTGCAGGAGAAATACCCTAAAGAAAAATGAGATAAATCATAAAATAAAACTGTACATAAAAAGGAATATGAAAGCAACTAAAACATTAAGAAACTAAAACATTAAGAAAAATAAATGAAAATATTTGATATTGAACTTACAGTTGATAACAAACAGCAGAACAAAAATGTAGCAAATGAACCAAAGATATACAGTTAAGTTGATTGAGTACCACTGGTGGTAACTTTGACTTACTTGGAGCAGTTTGCCACAGCTTGACACTTCTCAATACACTTCTTATGGCAGATATAGGAACACAGTCTACATTGGGCAGCAACTTTGGTCCAAACCTAGAAATAAACAATGAAAAGTCAAAAGAAGTTGCATTGTACTCTTATAGTACATGTACTACAATGGTGCATTTATGATTTGTAACAAGACATACTATTTTTACTGTGGCCAATCATTACAAAGAAATGGGCAAGGATGGCCAATCAGCACCAAGGGCTGAAAATGACCAATCAGCACCAAGGAAAGGGCTGCGGATGGCCAATCAGCACCAAGAAAAGGGCTGAGGATGGCCAATCAGCACCAAGGGCTAAAAATGGCCAATCAGCACCAAGAAAAGGGCTGAGGATGGCCAATCAGCACCAAGGAAAGAGCTGAGGATGGCCAATCAGCACCAAGGAAAGAGCTGAGGATGGCCAATCAGCACCAAGGTAAGGGCTGAGGATGGCCAATCAGCACCAAGGTAAGGGCTGAGGATGGGGCCTACCTTTTTCATGCAGTAGTCACATCTTGTGTCCCTAGATGTAAATTGCTTCTCTTCAAATTCATGTTTCACAGTCTGTATGCTGCAAAAGAAATGCAGATGTTAAGAATCATGAAAATCTTGATATACTCTGATAACCAAGTAATCCAGCACCCTGCCATGCAATAGATTCTAACCATGTTAAGTACCACCTTGCTGTTTCCTTATTAGCCACCTCAAAAGGACTTCTGATTTGTCACCAATCAATCATCAAGTTAGACATTTCTTTCAAACTTTCTTCATCATTATTGATTGCATCCTACATTTTAGAATTGGAGATTTAGAATTTTCCTTTTGATGACAAGTCAGAAGGCCATACAGTGACTATCAGAGGAAATGGACACCTACATGTAGGTAACAGGCTAATATTGGGGTTAGCCAGGGTTAGGGTGAGAAGCATGGCCAAGCAGACACACAGAGGCCAAGATACAGCCTACAGTATTCTATTTTGGAGGGTCTCCCCTTCCAGGTCTGACATTATTCATCAATGTACATGTCCTTTGAAGAAGATTTCTTACCCCATTATTCCTGAGTTTAAGAAGTTAGAATAACAGTGACAATCAAAACCTATCAAAAGGAGGGGCACTTGGGCAGCCACTAGGCAATTATGCTGTATTGACTGCACAAAACAACCTTCCACAACCTTAACCCTTTATTCTATGGGCTGCAAACTGTTGTTTTTTCAGAGATGCAGTCCTCTGACTTTCCTACAGCACCTGCTTGAAGAACAAGGTCATGGCCACACAAACTTGATATTTCAGATTCTTTGCATCACTGTACATTAATTTTGTCTGGTTTTCCCAAAGGAATGGGTCTTGCTTTACTCAATGTATGCATATTGATTTGTACCCTACAACACATCACAAATTTACAGTCAGTCCTTTAAGAAAATACTGCAAAATCAACTTGTATGTTGGAAAGCTAAATGTACAGCAGAGCAGAAAAACTTTTTATAGAATCATGTAAAAATTATCTCTGTAGCATGTCATCCATTCAGATGAATTTTTTTTGGCCTTTTAAAGATGATGTTACTGTACAAGCCACACATGCAGCTGTTAGTGCCACCCTACACCCCAATGCTCTGTAGGTTGGTTAGTGAGTTTGTTTGTTCTGAATGCCAGAAGCAGTCCTACCCTCCGGTGCAGATGGCAGGTTTGATTCCGTAGTCTGGCAGACGCTACAAGCAAATGGTAGCAAGGAAGGTCAGCCAAGACATAGCAATGCTGGCCATACATGACATACATGTACATGTACTCTATGTGCTCACACAGCAATGGTGGAGCTACATAGAGGTGAGAATATAAGATCTGTGAGATGCGAGTTAGGTAAAAGTTATTGTCATTTGCCACGCGAGCAGCTTGAAATAGTCAATTTATAATATATAATATATATACTTGAAATTTAACATGCCCAATCTGTGAGTTTTTATCCTACCCCCTATGAATGTACCAAACTATAGTTTTTCTACTATATAACTACAATAACTCATCAATTCTTAGCCCAGGAATACATGCCCGTCATCTAGCTTTTATATACTGACACAAATTAACTGACACTTAAAGTCAGTTAGATTTTATCCTTTATTGACAAGGCGGAAGTACAAAGACGAAAATTTGTACAGTGACCTAAATTTCAACAATAACACCTTGAACTAAATATAGGACATAACAATTTGTACTGATTAATTGATTTTTCATGTATCATAGTCCTATGCATACAGTATGAAACTGGCAATAAATAGCTACAGTTTCAGACAGCCGTCTCACCTGAGTCCTGAGCCCAGCCCTGCTATGCCCAGGGCGGAGGCAGACTTGCGTCGGATGGGCTGTGTCCGGCAGGAACCCGGCGTCTTCTTGGTGTCCGTCTGCTGATCCCCCTCTATGTGGCACTGGATGCTGGGCGTGTGGTGGAAACGCAGCGTGACGTCACCTCCGCACAGACGAGCGTTAAAGCCGGGGTGGGTCGCCAAGCCGGAACGACCGAGGTGACGACTGTAAAAAAGATGTCCCAACATTATGCCATTGTTAAGAAGCATGTTGGATCAAGCTGTTAGGAACCATGCTCCAGGACCAGAAAGTTTGAATCCTGATGGGTATTTGAAAGCTTTGCAGTCATTATTTAGTCCTTAGTGCATCCTTCTAATGTCATTCCATGAAAATAAATATAAAGACCTACTAGCAAGTGTTCAAAGACAGTTCAAACTCTACTACTGGATAAATAACTTACAGAAGTTTTGGATGACATCCGTCATTCTGCTATCACTAAGTGATTTTCAAGGCTGAAAAACTGAGGTTCAAAGTACAGACAGAGACAACAGTTTCAGTGTGACACACAGGGTAACACCATCCCCACACAGACAAGACTTAGTGATGAAGTGTGAGACCTCACCTGGCAGCAGCTCTGATCTCAGGTGGTTCCAGCAGGTAACAGTTCTGGTACTCCCCAGACAGGGTGGTCAGACACTGCAGGGCCACATCCATCAGGGAGATGCTCACCTGGGGCAACAAATAGTCAGTATTTATTCCAATGTACTCCATCCTTTTCCTTACTAAGGTTGTACTCATCTACCCATTTTTAATCAGAATATCACATCTGTGACATCAAGTTTGCATGACTCAATGTACATTTTGTACTCCAATCCAAGCAACAGAATTTGTACTGGTGCAATGTATGTACATGTATTTGTACAAGACATTATGTAAGCATGTAAGATGTAAACATGTTCAACACCCTATGTTAACAACTGTTTGTACTGAAAAGAACCCTGGAGAAGATTACAGACCAAGACCATCAGGAATGGCGTGCAATGCTACGCAAATGAAGACAGATTGATGCATGCTGCTCACACTGATGACAAGACCACAACTGGAAAGACAAGATTGCATACTCACATGTCCGATGAGTTCTTCCTTGTCTCCCTTCTCCACTCCTTTGGCCCAGATGCAGATGTTCAGGTACTTGTCTTCGTCCTCAATGTCAAATATGAACGTCTCATCCCAGGACAGTTCCTGGAAGAAGTCGAGGTTAATAAGCTTTTCTTTCTGTTCTTATATTTTCCAACTAGTACCACAGTGACTGTAATATTTTCATGCATATGTCATATCATATGTATGATTGTGCATGTGCTTGCAGTCAAGCTCAATATATACTTTCCACTCTGAAGGTCTGAACTGCAACATCCTTAAACACCAAGACAACCAGGACATTCTACTTGAAAATTTGGCACAGACAACTGATAAGAAACTGTACATGTGTATCAATTGTGATCACCACATTCCCTGAAGAAACCAAACAGAATAACCTACTTGAGAAGCAGTAACCGGACTGGTCGCCCTGGTCTCGATCTTGGTGGCGTCCTCCTCAGCGTGGAAAGTGTGCGAGGCCGCGGTGGTGTCTGCATCCCCTCCTGTAAACACTCCATGAAGAGGATCAGTCAGGGCCACGTCGTGGAGCGGCTCACTCCCATCTGAGTGCGACCTTCCTCGTGGAGTTCCAAGGGCCTACAACATGGACGTAAAATCGGACATTTAACGTTACCTCTAGCAAAGGCAATCATTTACTGTTATCTGAATTTAAGCTTTAGCATTAAAATAAATGAAGATTAACTAACTACATTTGTGGAAGAAGTGACAAGACAGGTGACTATTACCTCTTAAAGATCTCAAACCTAAGACCTGACTGTAAGGTTTGAACCACCCACACTGTAAAGGACACCTGCTTTTTTATCAGTGTGGTGGGATATTTTTTATGCATAAGGTGTGGCTCTCCTTAAACATGGGAACAAGGGCTTTATATCCTATCCGAGGCTGCATATCCTTTACAGCATACACAACCATATAAGTGTTGTGTGACACAAAATGAATAACTGAGAGTAAGAGAAAAATATACCTCTCGTGTGACAGTGATGGCAGGAATGCCTGCTCCGTGAGCGGTGTCCCTCGCTTTGTCTGCATCATCCACGGCAGGTTTCACACCAGGGTCCCTGATGGGGGAGGAAGTCGGCGACTGCTGACTGCCGCCCAGGCCAAACTTGCGACTCAGCAGCGGAGAGATGTTCGCCTTAGTTTTGGACGGAGAAGACTTCTGCTGTGCTGTTCTGCTGGAAATGCCCCTCCCCTCCGCGGCAGGGTTCTTGATGCTGATGTTGATGTACTCTTCGGTTTCGGAGTCAGAGTCGGGGAAGTTGTCGTGGTCGATGTCCAGCGCGTCCATTCCCTTCAGGCTGACCGTGTCCTCCTCGTAGGTCTGATGCGGACCTTGCAGAGCATCGGAGGTGACGTTGTGAGAAAGGTGACGCTCGATCCGCAACACCATCCTAAAGACAGGAGAAAGTGGAATTCAATGAACTATTGCCTTTCCAGCAGTGTGCAAGTCAGATAAGCTACAAGAGCAACAGAAGCTACATGTATGCACATAATACATGTAGAACTTTAGTCAAACATATTTACCAAGTATACCATTGGAATATTGACAGAGAATTGTTTGAGTGCCAGAATGTTTTTCCTAAGTGGGTAAAATGAAGACAATCTTACTGCTACTTTGTGCATTTGAAGCAAAAAAACAAGACCCCTTACTTGTCGCCTGCCTGCCGGATGAGTTTGGCTGCATGACTGACGTTCATGACTCTGACTCCTCCCACTGTCAGCAGGATGTCACCCTGTAATAGGACAGAAACAGTACATGTTTATCAAGACCAGACTTGTACAGTTTTTACCATGTTCTGTATCATGTACCACCACCTACCCTCCTCTGTACAAGTGTCCTTGACACTTCTACTCTGCTGTGGTCTGAGCATGCAGCCACCTACG